CGTAGCTAAAATCCAGGCACTGAAATAATATCTTGCTATCACCATTCAGCAGTTTAGGAGGTGGGCAATAGACGTGTACGTTCCTAGCTGGCCTTAATTGTCGTTCCTTAATTGCCATCACTACTGATGCCAGAAAACGTTTTAGATTAGATTAATTTTAGTGTATTTATAATTAGCTATATTATTATTTTTTAATTAGCTTCATAATTTCTTCATGAGAGAGCTCGCTGACACTGTATCTGTTTGTCACCCGAGTTCTTTGCTGCTAGGATGTAACTTTAGTAATTACCAGCTGGGTGGGCGTGCTTTAAAATCGCTGTCTGGAGTTGGGAAATTATAGATTTTCCTGTTACTCATTATAGCAAGAGCTAATAATACCTATTATTAGCTCTTGATTATAGTAATATAAGTATCTGTGCAGCAGAAGGCAGGCGATACATATCTATAAAACACGAGGTATATGCGCCATGTAGGACTCTCATCCTCCGTGTGATTGTAACTGATACATGTATTTTGGTGGCCGACCTAGAACGTACTGCCCCTCGCGATTAGGTATAGCCCCGTGTAACCCCTATTTAGTAGTACACGGTAAACATTAAGGCTCTCTAAGGGTCCTATTTGTAAGAAAATTTATGGCAGCTCTCTTTTTAGCGCTGCCTTACGGTTAATATTAAATTTCCAAGTTAAGTTAGGGCAATCCCAATTTTACACGTGAATAAGGGTCGCATTAGGTTTTTAGGGTTCCTATAGGAATTTGAGGCACCTCATATATAGAACACAACATTCATTCCTGCTCTATCGCATGTGCTATTGGTGTCCGTTAATGGCGACCGATGTACGTCGCTAGCAACAGCAGGTAGCTGTTGTCACTGCGACGCCACCGCACTGGCCCGAGTGTGCGCTAGCTGGCCGGCCGCACACAAAGTATATAGGTAGTGTGATAATGTCCGTGTGTGTGTGTATGTGTGAGGGGATTCTACAACACACACCCCGACACGGCGCCGTTCTCAAGCGATCTGTTTGTTTTCTCAGGCATCTTTACGGTTCCTGCTCATCAATCACGTCTGTCACGTCAAAGTCGAGGTACCGCTATAGAAGATAACGGTGTTTGTGCACGTGCATTGACTAACTGTAACCACACTACACTTCTCTCTCTAACGACACTACTACCGTTTTCCATCCGATGACGCGATAGTGTCATCGTCTCGTGAGTGTGGTGACGTACCAGCTCACCCACGCCCTCTCGTGAGTGTGGTGACGTAGCGGCCCACGCACGCCCTCTCGTGAGTGTGGTGACGTAGCGGCCCACGCACGCCCTCTCGTGAGTGTGGTGACGTAGCGGCCCACGCACGCCCTCTCGTGAGTGTGGTGACGTAGCGGCCCACGCACGCCCTCTCGTGAGTGTGGTGACGTAGCGGCTGAACGCGGTGACCTTTCGGCTCATACTTCTCACGAAATCGACTGAAGTTGCTATCGGTGTGAAATCAACGCTGGTTGTTGCATCGTGCTGATTTCTGTGCGGTGGCGGCAAATATGAGAGGCATTGCTGGCGAGAGGCGAGCGAAAGATGTGGCGACTGTCAGCAGTTGAGGCAGCTGTCAGCCCGCATGCTGCGCCGCTCGCTGCTGTAACGTGGCCACGTAACAGGTCGTTGCGTGTTGCTGTGCGTCGCCTGTAGGCGCACACGTGCGGCGTGACGACTTATCGATTAAAACCGTAACACGTTAACTTTTGTATTAATACACGATGTGTTTTGTTAGCCATCTTGTTATTTCTTAAACTAACTAATAGGTAATTGTCATCGTGTGTGCGCGTGATAAGGTCGGTGTGCGTGCGCGTCCGTGTGTGTGTGTGTGTCGCAACATATCTGTGAGTGCATGAGTGTATGGTTGCAGTGGGCGTCTATGTTTGCCTGCACTTAACTTACTCATCCAGGTTGTAAATAGTCGTTTCTCGGTTGGCTACGGTAACAATCTAATCCCTCCCGTTGCTTGCTCACCGGCGTTTGTGCCATTAACCTCGTGTGTACTTAACTAATACGCCGGCCACGCTGGTGAGTGATACTAGCATGCGTGTGTTGATTGCACGGCTGGAATCGTGGGCGCAGCGCGCATCATTTCAATCGCGGTATAAAGTTCATCAAGGACCTGAGCTGAAACTCGTGGATAGTCGCGGGGTAGACTCAGACTCGGGTCTGTAATGGAGAGTAGATGGTCGTCTGGCGCGGTGTGATTACGTCGTAGAGAGTTATCCTAATTAATTACTCTGGCCTGCGAGCGAGGCTCGTCGGCTGGTCGGCTGCAGCAGTCCGCTTAATTACAGCACGCCCGATATTCAGCGTGATTTACTATCGAATAAAGACGGCGCTGCTTATAGCGCCGCCTACCAATGGCTACCGTTTGATGGGCGCGAGAAATCGATGGAAATTTGATTTGAGGAGAAAAAGAGCCTCGTGTGTTTTCGCTGCGAATTTACGCTAGCTCATGCGTCTCGGGGTCATTATTCATTATCATGCGTTATTATTATATTCTTGGGGTTATGGACACGGGCGTAATAACCACGGGTTTACCGTTTGAATCCGTTTTGCGTTGTATTTCACCTGCGTGGTAGAGACTTCCTTATAGAGACTGTGGAAATATCTCCGCATTGGAGTTGTATATTACTATTCTTGATGCTGTGATGTTCATAACGGTAATGGAACAGAAATACTTAAAAGAAGTGGGTGGTCCTCATCCACTGTGTAGCTGAATGTAATAATAAATACAACAAGGAAGGGGCAGTCTGTGATGCATCTGGAATGCCAGAATCAATCGAAGGGATTTCATTGCGTCAGATTAGTATGATCTGCTATCGCAAAATCGTGTTTCGTGCAAGTCCGCCGATCTGTTCTTTGAGACTTAAAACACCGCGTTATACTTGCGAGGCCTATAGAACGCTGGAAACATTTAAGACACTCTGTCAAACATTTATCGTGCGCGCGCTTTCTTTCATAAATGTCACCACGCCGGTTGACCAGATGACAAACATTGTTCAGATTTAAAAGAAATCTGTTATAAGAGTGTAAATTGTCCATGTATAAACTGTATACACAGTAAAAACTCGCGGTCTCTCATCTGAATTGTCAGCCAAGAAACTCCAGTACAAGCGCTGTTTGTACTGCCTGTGTGCATACACATACACGCCCGCTGGACCCGGCCTATAGCCCGCGACAGACATATTCTGCGCGTAAATTCAGTTACAGGGTTTTGTTTTAATCTTCTTGTATATGTCAACCGACCGTGATTCTGCGGCTATGGCGGCGCCTTATTTACATAAATAGTATGCCTGTCCCCAGTCTACCCCACCTGTCCCACTACCCCTACCACCTACCACGCTAGTGCCGCGTTCCCTACCCGACAGCGGTCTAAACATCGACCACGGCGTCCTTGCCGTATGCCGCGGCAGCACTCGCCGGCTGCGGTTGATGGAAGACAGCCAAACTACGCTGACCACGCGAACGCCCCCCCCCCCGGGGGAAAAAATGTGGACCTTTTAAAATTTTTGGGGGGTCGTACGACCCTCACGACCCCCCCCCGGCCCCCCCCCCCCCCCCGGGGGAGACATTAGCATAGTTTTTCATGCATGCGAGCACCCGCACACACGATGAAGCCATACTATAGAAGCTCAGCTTCATGACCGTGAGAGCAAACACGGCAGCGGCGGCGGCGCGCCGCGCGTTCACTCGTCAGGCGCCGCACGTCCGTCGTCTCCAGCGCGCACTTGTCTGTCGTCACGTTGAAAAGAGAAGCCGGCGGATCGTCGATAGGGCGCACTCTCGCAGCATCCCCTCATCGCTCGCTAACGACCACCTGGCTCACAACCTCCACCGCTCGCTCGCAGGCCCCGGCGATGCTCTGATTTGCGGCGGTGTATGCGTGCGTGCGCGCGTGCGTGCGTGCGTGCGTGCGTGCGTGCGTGTGCCTCGCCGCCTGCGACCGTAAGTAATCGCTTCCTCACTTTGTCTTTGCAGCCAGTCGATACGAAGGACAAGCCTGCGGGACAAGTCTATGCTGTCGCGCAGGGAGGCGCAGGAGGAGGCCAAGCTACGCGTGCAAACAGAGGTGCGTGTGCGCGAGCTCATGCATGCGAGACAGAGAGAGAGAGATTCCCGTGACGGGGGAGGGAGGGGGAGGCGCTAGTGTAGCAAGCTCTAGTCCTCACTCGCTGGCTAATGAAGATGGATCACTTGACCGCGTGGACAGCTTTCTCACAAGCCTCGTGGATGCAGACTGATCTTTAGCTCCTCACCGACTCTCCTTGTTTAACCTCCTGTTCGTGGCCTCGTTATATCATGAAACGTGACATTAATCATAAATCATGATCAGTTGACCACGGCTTGCTCTATCATTGTCCGTCCTGAATGACGTAGGTCCCCCCCCCCGTGATCAGTTGACCACGGCTAGCTCTATCATTGTCCGTCCTGACTGACGTAGGTCCCCCTCCCCCGTGATCAGTTGACCACGGCTAGCTCTATCATTGTCCATCCTGCCTGTTAGTTCTGTTATCAGCTGACGATTCAATGCGCTGCTATTCTTGAAGCCCCTGCGGATGTTCCTCCGTCAATATAATATAACACGGCGGCATACAATACGGTTTACAATAAAGGCCAGGCATTGGTGGCTGTCTCGACCTTATAAGTACAACGCAAAACTAAACGCGTACTGCTAATTAATTTTTTGCGTTGTTGTTTTCTTGCGAGGCGAGCGGATGAGACACGTCATTAGTACCGCAGGCAGGAGCATCTCATTAGAAAGCCATCGCGAGTCGAGATGACTTAAAAGTATCCAGCTCGTTGACCTAGTTGTGCGGATCGCGTTATGCAATCAATGCACGATGCTGCATCAGCTGTGTAAATTGCTGCTGTCGCCGCGCTCACGACTCGCAAATCTGAATGCTGCCTGATTCATGCGGCGAGCGAGAGAGAGAGAGAGAGCGAAAGCGTGCGAACGAGAGAGCGAGAGAAAGAGAGCGAACGAGAGAGCGAGAGAAAGAGACTGTGTGTGTGCGCGTGTGTGCGTCTGTGCATGCATCCATGAGTGTGTCCGTGTGCGCGTCCGTGCGTGCACGTGTGTATGTGATAGAGAAGGACAGACAAGGAGAAGGAAGGGCGAGAGTTAGAGAAGGAGGGATGGAGAGGGAGGTAGAGCGAATGGGTTAGGGGTAGAGAAAATCGATGATCCATAGTAAGATTAAATTGTGCGTGTGTGATTTGCATCTGTCGTTGCTAGTCCTCCCTGCAGCAGCAGCAGAACAACAGTAACAGCAGCAGCAGCAGCAGCAGCAGTAGTAGTAGTAGCAGGAGTAAGATAATATAGGTATATTATCTTATTATTACCTTACCTATATTATCTTACTCCTGGTAGTAGTAGTAGTAGTAGTAGTAGTAGTAGTAGTAGTAGTAGTAGTAGTAGTAGTAGTAGCAGTAGCCGTAGCAGCAGCAGTTGCAGCAACAGTAGCAGCAGCAGTTGCAGGCAACAGTAGCAGCAGGCAGAGACAGACAGAAGCCCGGCGGCGCAGCACGAAGCAGGCGAGCGGGAGCAGCGAAGCAGCAGCACAGCCTCGTATGCAGTACAGCAGCCAGAACAACAGTAGGCGAGTAGCCGTAGCATACCGCAGTACAGTAGCTGTAGCAGTAGCAGCAGGCAAACAGACAGTAAGCAGTAGCAGTAGCCGTAGCCGAGTACGCCCGAGCAGTAGCAGTAGCCGAGTAGCCGTAGCAGTAGCAGTAGCAGGTACCGTAGCCGTAGCAGTCGCAGTAGCCCAGTACCGCAGTTAGCCGTAGCGTAGCAGTAGCCGTAGCAGTAGCAATACGCAGTACCCGTAACGCCGTAAGCAGTAGGCAGTAGCCCGTAGAGCAGCTAGCAGTACAGACGCAGTAGCGTAGCAGTAGCCGTAGCGCGTAGCCGTAGCAGTAGCAGTACAGTAGCGGCGCTAGCAGTAGGCATAGCCGTACAGTACAGCAGGTTAGCAAGTCAGCAGTACAGTAGCCGTAGGGCAGTAGCCGGAGCAGTACAGTAGCCGTAGCCGGTCAGCCGTAAGGCGCAGTAGCAGTAGCAGTACAGTAGCCGTAGCAGTAGCAGTAGGCAGCTAGGCAGTAGCAGTATCAGCAAGCAGTTGGGCCAGCAAACTAGTAGAGCAGAAGCAGAAACAACCAGTAACAGCACAACAGTAGTAGTATAGAGTAGTAGACCGACGACTAGGGCAGTAGCAGTACAGTAGCATGTAGCAGTAGCAGTAGCAGAGGCAGTAGCAAGTAGCAGTAGCCGGAGCCGTAGCAGGAAGCAGATAGCAGGCAGCGAGTATGCAGGCAACAGTAGCAGCAGCAACAAGCTAGTAGCAGCCAAGAAGTAGTAGTAGCAGTCACAGTACAGTAAGAGTAGCAGTAGCAGCAGCCGTAAATCAGTGCAAGCAGGCAGCAGCGACCAGCAGCGGCACAGCAGCAGCAGCGAGCAGCAGCAGCGGGCAGCAGCAGCAGCCAGCGACAGGCAGCGGCAGGAAGCAGCAGGCAAGCAGCAGCAGCGAGAGCAGCGCAGCGGCAGCAGCAGCAGTGAAGCCCGAAAGTGAGGATTGCGTGAGGCTTCCTCATTAAAGCTATAAACCATGAATCATTATCGTACCCGTCATGTTTGCCCTTCGCATCGCCTGCAACACGCATTCACATGAGAAGGGATCCCGCTCATTCCATTCTGCTCCAGAAATAGAGCAGTATGACGGGCGGGGAGCGCATGAGATAGAGGGGAATACAGCGAGAGAAGAGAGGAGACGAGAGAGAGTAGAGAGAGAGAGATAGGGAGGGAGACGAGAGAGAGAGAGATAGAGGGCCAGAGATGCAGCGAGAAGAGTAGCAGGTGCAGGTGGACGGTGAGCAGGGCGGACGAAGTAGCGACGTACCTGAGTAGGGACAACGGCCGACTCCGGTGATTCAGATAGCAGTATCAGCGCTGAGCACCGAGAAACGCTCAGCGGCACTGCGCCACAACATAACTATTCCAATCTAGTCCCGAGCCCGGAGAGCCTCAGCGGAAGCAAGGCGGCTAGCACCCTGCCCGTCACGTAAGCGATCCGACGTCTGCAGAACCTCCTACCGTAGAACAATCTCATCCCGCCCCTTCGCTGTCGATAAAGCCCCTCTCCAACACTGTCAACCATCCCCCCGCGCTTTGCTGCTCCGCAGGAAACCAACAGACGGCGGTGCCGACTACGCGGACCGAACGGTCAGAGAGGTACCGGCAGCGCACCGATCACCGATGAAGTGCATACCTCCAAAACGGTCCGGCCAACAGTGGACAGCAGCGCTCGGTCTCGTCCGCGAAGCCTCTCTCCGTAATGATGCACAGTGAAGCAGGACGCGCCCTTTGTCGGTTTTCTTTGTCATCGTCTCGCCTGAATGCCGCTGAAGCTGAGAACCGACGCGCGCGAGCGCTGGCGAAATCCGACCATCCCACTACGTCTGGCCTGACAACGAGCTCCGGCCGATGGACGCGGCTCGCAGCAAGTCGGCGACTCCGAGCCTGGCGCTGCGATGCGCGCCCCGACGCAGCGCTGCAGGCAGCGAGCCGCGATGTAGCAGCGCCGCCTGACGAGGATCCTATTCCGTCGGGCCACCGCGAGCTCGCGCGACCCGCTGAAGCACAAGGCGCGGCTCCGGTCGAGCGAGGCACACAATCGCACCGCAGGAGGTGGTGTCTGGCGTCCGCGCTTGCCGGGAGAGCTGCGAACGTCGAAAAAGCGCCTGCACGCGACAGCTCACGGCAGTGCCTGCGAGCGAAACGCGTATGGCGGCGGCTGGGCCAGCGCGCGACGATAGAGCCTCATCTGATAGACACTACTGAGCATGATTCTTCGAGGCTCAGCCGCCGGGGGAGGTGGGTCCGCGGATGCCGAGCTGCCTGCGCCGACTAGGATGAGCCTTGCCTGAGCTGTGCGTAACGTGAGCCGCGTGAGTGCGTGCGTGACTGCCCTCGCCGCGCAGTGACTAGTGATCTAAGCATTGCCTGCACTGCTACTGCTGAGCGATCGGTCTCCGTCGACTCGGCTACTACTGCAGGCGAGTTGCCGCACTAGCTGTCTCGTGCCACTCCGCAGGGATGTGCGCGACCCTAAGATGCCGATCGGCGACGTGACTCGCTAGCACTGAAGACTCACTGGCGGCTGACCGATGCCCCGTGAGAAAATTCTAAATCGCAGCATCAAACCTGGGCATCGCATGGCAAGGTTAAGTATCGGGCTTAGTATGTAGGCTACTGTGTCCCTACGTATACAATTTGATATGAGTACCTTACACTTATATGAGTCTACGGAGACTCGTATGTGTATATATATGTATATGGTATATAGCTATAGAGTATACTGACACTTAGGTACGTATACAACAGGTATTGTATATGGTCTGTGTATATGATATCTATATGCAGAGACCTCATACCTCATGCATAGTTTCTCCAGGCCGGTGAGTTGACAATAAAGCGGTTTCGGAGAACTATACAGAGCACAGAACAAAATGTAGAATCATCTACAGATTCAGCTACGATCTTTAGGGCGTATCGTCGTTCACGCTGTACGGTGCCTATGCTAGTCTTCTTAGGCGGTCTTAGTTGTCTGCCCAACCATGGCGTTTGCATCTACCTGTTGTACTGCACACCTGCTGCGGTATATCAGTAATGTGCATAAGCCGGCGATCGCGCGCTACTTTCTAGCACAGATACCCTGCGGCCGACCAGCCATGCACACGTCACGTAGTCCCTGGGGTCACAAGTCGCCTCTCGTTGCACGAAAGCTTTGCCATTTTCGCACTAAGTGTTGCGAAGCTACCTTAGCGAGAGTAGGCCGCACTCTGAAGGTCACGTGGTACGTGGGCTTCTAGCAGCGGGACGTATTCGTACAGACAGCTGCGCCGAAGCGCTAATCAGCTAGAGCTGATTGACTGACCCACCATAGCCTGCTGAGTCCTAGCGCGTTGCCGATAACTACTTCAAATTAGGCCCAGGAACGGCGCGCATATTCCGGCGCCCTGCCTCGGCTCACTTCGGGCCCTCGCTCCTAGGCCGCACGTCGCCAGCGAGAGCTGCTTGTTTAAATGCTCGTGACCAGAGCTTGCCCTTAATGCAGCGCAGCGCCTCACGCACGTTGTGAAACTCGTGCAGATACTGACGACCTCCATATACGTCACCTCGTGATCTTTGCTGACTTAGGGCGAGCGTCGGTCGAATGTTCCGAGACTCAGCGGCCTCCACTGGAGGGTCGTAGACCGCGGCATAAATATTCCGTTTGCCCCCTCTCTGATGGCCTGATCGACTTGTCGGGTGTCGACGGGCGCTTTCGACCGTTGCTTCTCGTCATACTGGCTACTCGCCCGGCCCCGGTACCGGATACTGCTTACTGGCTATGCCTACGCGCACGGCTGACTGCTACTGCTACCGGCTACGGCCGCTCTATACGGTCGGCTCTATGTTTAAGCGGAAACGGATGTACACTCTTTGTTGAACTTCACAGAACCGTTGTCACAGGGTTTTAAAGTATCCTTACGGCAGTCTTGTAATAGTCGCTTTTCTTGAATGCGGCTTGTAGGCTCAAGCCGCAATGGGCTCACTTCTGCTATGATGAGCATATGTCGCGCGCGTGTCCAAGTACGCTCGGCGGCCACCTACTAAGAATGCCGATTTACAGTATCTGGACTCAATTAGCGGAGCTGAACACGGACCACCTAGAGCGTCTCTTGCTGTATTGCTCTCTGCAGAGCATGCAGCGATGTGGGCTTTTCTGCCGGGCGCTGAAGAGAATTTTCGTACCACGAGTGACCGGGGGTAGACCAGACCCGTGCGTATCGGGCCGAACCGCCCTCTTTACGTCTGGGCACGAGTGCGCTATGTGTGCGCTGTGTGGCGAGAGCACTCGCATGGAGAGTCTGCTCGGGCCGAGGGCCCAGGCCTAATGCACCTGAGGCGTCTCACTGCTCGCGGCGTGCGTGTTGAGAGCGTGTGGTGCTGTCTGTGCGATGCGCGTCGCCGTCGCTGACCTGAGCCATACTGTTTGCTGCAACGTGCCTTGCTGGGCACGTCTCGCTAGGCTATCTTGCACGCTAGAGCCACGCTACGTGAGCTGATCATCGTATCGGCACCGCAGCATTGCAGAATGCGCTTCAGTAGCTAGCGATCGCGTGTTACTATCGCTCCCGTAAGGAGGTCGCAAGATAAAGTCAGATAGGTAGATGTCTGATGCGGCTATAGGAGAAAACTGAGCCTTCACAGTTAGGATAACCTACCATGATACGCTTGTTCTCGAGATCATCATGCGCTCAGTAGACGCGAGTCGAAATTCTATCATCGTACCCGTCGGATGTAATCAGCTCAGCAATCGGCCTTTGCGAGAGCATGAGCGTATAGAGGGCTATCGATACGCCTGGAGGAGTTTACGTTGTAGACCTTTTATAGCGCTATAGCTGGTCATGCGCTCTCAGCTCTATACTGAGCGCGACTGTTCTAGCTAGCCTCTGCTCAGAGCGCAGGCGCGAGTCTATACGAGAGCATTCTACATTTACGGCAAGTCCACAATCTCCGCTTGGCAGCACCTTACCAGTAGAGCAGCTTGAGAATAGTTGCACGCGCTTCTGACGTGGCAGAGAATGACCGTGTGATTTGCCGTTCGTCGGCGTGCGTACTATATTAAAACGCTGGGACCCGGTTGTCACTAGTATCGGAGAAAGGCCCAGCGATTTTTTCTAGTGCTTGCATGTATCCACGTGTGTGTAGTCACGCATCATCGACGCAGGTGTAACTCTCTGTAACTACTGCAATAGTGTTTTAGCGTCAGCAGCTCTGTGAGCAGAATCAGTTATTTATATTAAATATTGGCATTATATATATCCTATTCCGTGTTCGTTGATGTACAGACAAGTTTTAGATTTTGCAGTGATGATATTGAAGGCTCTTGTTAGCGGAAAATGATGTGTGTGAAACTTGATGGTATATACATAAATGTACTTGAATGAAGGCACAATAAGTTTTGTCTGTTATGTTTGCCAGTTAACATCCCCCCCCACCCACTCAGGCAACTTATCACTGGAACACTCCCTGCTCTTTCTTGCTATTCGCATGTCCAATATCGGCGGCGAAACTCCCACCAGCACATTCATTACCAAGTGCGCAGCTTAAAAGCATTCAAATGATAAATTTTTAAATCTGGTTCTCACATTGCTCGGTACATCGCATCTTGCGTGGCTTATCACTCGACTGCTTCTCGATTGTTCAATCTCGAGATAGTAACGCACAGGTCCACTTTATAGCCTCATTAAGTCAATTCCGGCATTTCATCTGTTTAAGTGGAGTATTAGTACGCGTTGAGGGCAGGAACGGCTAATGTTTCTAATCAGAAAGGAGCAAGTTTCTGCTATGGCGTTGGGCTGACATTCAAGCAAGCCGGGATATCCGCGCGAAGCGCGCCAACGCCGCTAGCGCGCTCTAACACGTCTTGCTGCCGCTCGCTTCACCTTACACGTTTACATATATACACGCAAGCACCTAACTTTCGCTGAATTTTGACAGTTCCTGGCCATTCGACGATCGGTTTAGACTAACCAGGGCAGCTCGACCATTTCTTAGAAAATGCATTCCAATTCGAAAGTATTCGTTATTCGGCGCGCTAATTCTTTGCACGTAATAAACGAATTTTCCTAGTATTCTTCTTTGCTTTGTTTTTCGTTGATGAGGGGTAATACAGTATGTTTTGCGACAGACGCGCAACGAAACGCCGTCATCTAGAGGCATATTAGACTGGTACCGACGTTTTGCCCACCTTTACCTCGCGGCCTATCGCTACGACCACGTAAGTGTAGCGCTCTCGAACGCTGTCGAACTGTCGACTCTATTACACCAGTCTATAATGCTGGTAATTCTCTTATTCCATGTTGTTTGTGCGCACGCAGCACAGCTATGTTGTCAGACAGTATAGATTTCGTGTTCTTAAGCA